CCTCCCAAAGTGCTAGGATTATAGACGTGAGCCACCGCGCCCGGCCCCCACACCCGGCCAATTTTTGCATTTTTAGTAGAGACTGGGTTTCACCATTTTGGCCAAGTTGATCTCGAACTCTTGACCTGAGGTGATCCACCTGCCTCAGCCTCCCAAAGGGCTGGGATTACAGGCGTGAGCCATCTCGCCCATCTGGTCCCCCTTTTATTTTATTGTATTTTCTGAGATGGAGTTTTGCTCCTGTTGCTTAGGCTGGAGTGCAGTGGTTCGATCTGGGCTCACTGTAACCTCCACCTCCTGGGTTCAAGTGATTCTCCTGCCTCAGCCTCCTGAGTAGCTGGGGTTACAGGCACCTGCCACCACACCTGACTAATTCAGTCCTCCTTCCCCCCCCCCTTTTTTTTTTAATAAACAACAATAACTGCACAAATTTGACACTGGCCAGACACAGTGGCTCATGCCTGTAATTCCAGCACTTTGAGAGGCTGAGGTGGGCGGATCACAAGGTCAAGAGATAGAGACCATCCTGGCCAATATGGTGAAACCCCATCTCTACTGAAAATACAAAAATTAGCTGGGCGTGGTGGTAATCCCAACTACTTGGGAGGAGAATCGCTTGAACCCGGAAGGCCGAAGTTGCAGTGAGCTGAGATTGAGCACTGCACTCCAGCCTGGCCACAGAGCAAGACTCTGTCTCAAAAAATTAAATAATTGTGTGTAGAAAAAAGGAATCAGAAAAAAATAATAAAATAAAAAGACTAAAACAGTTTGCAGTGATTAGGAGTTCAGCTGTCTAGTTTTCATAAATAGACTCAAGAAAAATGAATTGCCCACTGTCATATATCAGATTATTGGCAAAGCCTGGACTAGAGTCTAAGTTCTAGTCTAGTGGCCCTTGTACTATACCTGTAATTTTATTGCTTTCTAGTCCATTTGATGATTCTAACTAGGCTCACAAAGTGATGTTGTCTAAAGGTTAGCCAAGACCATTTCAATAGGTAAGAATTACTATTTTTTTCTTTGGTTTTTATTTTATTTTGTCTTGCTTTTTTTTTTATTTTCAGGAAGTGAGCAGTTTCTCAAAATTATTATAATTAATGGATCAGCTAATTTGTATAGTGCTTAAAATGTTTTAGTAACATAAATTTTATTAAATTCACTAACTTAGTAAATAAATGTTCCCCGTTTTATTTCATTGTAAACTTTAGTTTATTTAGTAAATCCTCTGTTTATATTGTAAATGCTTAGAGATACCAAATGTAAAATAATGATATTTCACTGTTTTTGTTTGGTCTAATATTTAAGTCTGGCAGCTAGTATTAGCAGAGGGCAAAACCTATAGTTTATGAAATAAACATTCACTGAGCATCTAATATGTTCCAGGCATTGTGGTATGTGGTAGGATTCCAAAGATAAATATGGCAAAACAGATGCCTCTTCTTCTTTTTTTTTGCTTTGTTTTTTTGTTGTTATTTTGCTTTTTGTATCTTTTTTGTTTGTTTGTTTTCCTATCGTTCTTTTGAGGCTGGGAGATTATCGTGAGCTGTCAATTCTCAAGCTTTGTCTGTGAGTTAATCTGGTAATAGTATTATGAAATGTAACCTGTTAGCACTATTAAAGGTCATTGTGTGAGTAGATATGAGGAGACAGAAACAGTAGTGATCAGATAAAAAATACTTTTGAATTTAACAAATATTATTTCTGTATCTTAGAGGTCACACGGTATGATGTTTGTAAAAAGTCCCGGATTGGGTACCACAGTACCTAGATTATTGACTTTGTTTCCAATTAGCCGAGGGATTGTGCATCTCAGTGCCCATATTTCTTTGCATTTTCACATTTTTGATATGTTATTTGATGTGTTGAATCAAAATATAAAAAGAGTATTTTTTCAGTGCTAAGAATCTTTTTTTTTTTTTTTGGAAA